TATTATTGTTGTTGTCACTGTCATTATTATTGTTATTATTATCATTAATCATTGTTATTATTGCTATGCAATTACTAATAAAAGGTGGACAATTTTTGATGATGATGATGATAGATACAGTGTTTTTTCTAGTGATAAAAGTTTGTTCTTTCTTTTTTTTTAAAAAATTTCAGTTTATTGCGAACTGTAATTGATCGAGCTATTAAAATTCCGGATATTGCATCAACCGCAGCAATGACAGTCCTGAAAAGATTAGGCATTAACGGTGGTACCAGTACTGGTACCAATTTTATGGCAGCATTACATTTAGCTGCAACACATAGGTGAACAAAATTTGTTTGTTTGTTTATTTGTTATGTTTATTTAATCAAATGCTTATTTATTTATTTATTATTGCTTCATTATTATCTTTTCAAACAATTATTTTGTTGATATTTAGAGTTTCAGTATTTTTTTTCTTTTTTTTGTTTAATTTCGTTAATCACTTGTGATATTATAACAAAAATATAATTAGTAATCTTTTAATTAGTATGTAATTAATTATGCATAATTTTGATAAAAAATATTGCAGTAAAATTTTAACAAAATTTTGGAAACATTTCATTTGGTTTTGATAAAAAATAAGAAATAGCAAAATTGTTACTAATTCGAAATATTAATTGGAATTTTGAAAATACTTATGAAATTTGCTTAAAAATTAATTTTTAGCAAAGATTCACTTTTCAACAATGAACGATTAATAATTGCTACAATAATGGGTGATACTGGTGATTATTACAAATCATCATATTACAATAGAACATGGATTAATGAAAATTTCAACGTTCATGGTGGTCTTACCGTATATGATTGCTGGATAGAGGTATTAAAGAAGTTATATGATTAATTGAAATAATATATTAAATGAAAAATTCTCGTCAAAAAAACAAAAATTTAATATTCGTTAAGTACTTAATGTTTAATGTCGTACTTAACATTTGAACCGGTTTGTTCACTAATTAAAATAAATAAAAAAAAGAAAATTTTCAAATTTTTTAAAATTCCAATAAATTTCATATAAATATTGCTAGATAATAATTTTTTGATTAATTTAAATATTACATATTTAAAATGTATAGCATTCTTAAATAAATGAATCTTATTAATTTTTTAACGGCAAATTGTTTATTTTTCTAATTTAATTACTTACCTTAACATTCTATTTTCATTCTTCTGTTTTTCTTTTTTCTTTTTTTGTTTT